TCTCTCCTTCTCTTTCAAGAGTCAATATAAAAATAGTTCTATGACCTGCGGGGGAGTTTGTTTAGTAGCTGTGCATAGATTTTGGCACAGTATGCTTAGCCATTTTTTGAATGGCTTTGAAGAGTAACTTGGCCGGTAGCGATGAAAAACTAATAAAATCTCTCCTTCTCTTTCCAGAGTCAATATAAAAATAGTTCTATGACCTGTGCAGGAGATTTTTAGTAGGTCTGCCTGGATTTGAATAAAATATTCATAGCCGTTTTTTTCTGTAAGCTTATGAAACTAGAATAATACCCCCCCCCCCAGTGGCACAGCGGTATGTCTATGGACCTACAATGCTGGAATCTGGGTTTAGATACCCGTGGTAGGCAGAGCACAGATAATAGTTTTGTGCTTAATTACAAACAAACTAGAATGATAAGAATAATATGAAGAACAAAGGATTGAATTTTGTCTAACAATCAGAAAATCAACTTTTTTGTTATTATCAATATTTTAGTAGCCTTAGCCATTAAGATAGAAGGTCTTGAGGGTTGTTTCAAGGACAGGTCTGCTTTTTAAGATGGTTTTAACCCGTATGTTCTCTTAGTATTTTTGTGAAATTCCTGGGCAAACCCTAATGTGATTTATTATTATATCTTTTTGTCAAATATATTCATTTATTTTTTCTAAACTATCTTGAGGGCTTTCAGCATGTAGTATGACTTTCCTTTTAAACGAATATCGAAACGTCTACTAAACCTTTTACTCAGAAAGAGTTTCATACACGATAAAAATTCGTATGAACTTGGCTCTGTACCTGAAAACTTCTGACTAGAAACAAACCCATCTCATAGGGTAGCCCCCAATGGCACAATAAGTCTGCGGATTTACAACACTAGAATCCGGGTTTCGATACCTGTGGTGGGCAGAGCACAGATAGCCCATTGTGTAGCTTTGTGCCTAATTACAAACAAGCAAACTCATAGGATAATTCGCTCCCCCCCCAGTGGCACAGCGGTATGTCTGCAGACTTATACTGCTAGAAACCGAGTTTTGATACCCGTGGTGGGCATAGCACAGATAGCCCTTTGTGTAGCTTTGTGGTTAATAACAAACAACAGCAACAACATAGGATAATTCAAATACTTTTACATATTGATATGAGTGGGGAGTTTCCTACCCTATAATCACATATGTAGTGTTCAATTGTGGTATACCGCACTTTTAACGTTTGTTCTGAACTTAGACGATAAACTAATAAGTGTGAAGACTCGCACAATTGTTGTGAATAAAATTATTTGTTCAGTTATGTCTCTTCTTTTCAATGCTGACCATGTTCATTTTCTTCTCTGCGTAAAAATATTTCCTGAATCTGTGTTTTGTGGATACTTCTGAAATTATCTGTCAGTTCTCAATGAACCTGAACAGCAATAACAGTTCGTTGTCCCATCAAGTAGCGACATAAATTATATAAAAAAAACAAAAAACACGGCTCTATCCATTATGGAATACTTGATGCAGCCACAACTTTTGATGATAAATAAAATGATAATTAAAATGAATATAAGGAGCTCATGTACCCCAGTTATTACTTTTCCTCATGATTGGTATATTTATATCCTGTCGTGCAGTAAATTGTTAATCATCAACCTTGGTGTACTGTTGTTTTAAAACAGCTTCTTAGCTTATATCCTGTCGTGCAGTATATCGTTAAACACCAACCTTGGTGTACTGTTGTTTTAAAACAGCTTCTTAGCTTATATCCTGTCGTGCAGTAAATCGTTAAACACCAACCTTGGTTCACTGTTGTTTTAAAACAGCTTCTTAGCTTATATCCTGTCGTGCAGTAAATCGTTAAACACCAACCTTGGTTCACTGTTGTTTTAAAACAGCTTCTTAGCTTATATCCTGTCGTGCAGTAAA